TGGCGTCCAACAGGATGACCATCTTGCTGCATAGCTAAGATCCAGGTGACCAAGTCCGCCTCGTACGATAGTGGCAGGATGTGCATTGGTCCCATCATTGAATTGGTCGTTGTAGAGCCGGATTTGGCTCTTGTTACGTGTGTGCGTAACGTTCGTTGAGGGATGCCATATGCTATGGCAGCGGATGGAATCGTGTGTTGCTTCTAGATCACGTCGCTCACTGCGGCTGCAATTTCGTCGGGTGTGTACAAGGTTCTTGGCGGCATTTTTCAAGTTTGACACACTTGTTGCCTCTGAATTCTAATGTTTATTCCCACCATAAAATTATGAGGGATTTAGTTGCTGGGTAAACGTATTTCATCCAATCATAGATTCTTGCGATTCTATTGGGTGATGGAGCTAGAGTTCGACCGATCACTGAGACCCGACGTTACTAGAAATTCCGGAGTATATTTCGTGAAATATTTATATGCGCACTACGCTTAGTCGATTCTACCGCCATTTTTCAAAACGACTTGAGCCAAACGCGTTGGCATGTTGTCCATAAGCGTCTTCAAGTAGTCAGTACCTATCATTTTCCACGACAAAGCAATTTGCCGCTTCAAATCAGACACATTGTCAAATTGTCGCCCACCCTCGTAAACATGGCGAGCTAGAATACCCCAAACGTTCTCAATAACGTTCAAATCGGGGCTCTTGCTAGGCCAGTCCATGAGGAAGACGCCCGAGTCTTCAAGAAACTTCTTCGTCTCCTTGGAAGCGTGGATTGATGCATTGTCTTGTTGGAACACAACAATCTGGTCTTCGAGACACTCTTGAACTTCGTCCAAAAAGGGGAACAGATACGTCTCCAGCGTCTTGCAATACTTCCCCGAGCTTTGTCGTCCTTCAAGGAATGCGATATCAGACTTCCCGCACATGCTCACAGCACCCCAAACCATAACGCTGCCCCCACCACTGACCCGCTTCGAGAACACTTTTTCGTCCGTACGTTCCGGGGGACTTTAGGTACGAACGCACAAATGACGCAGGTCGTTTGAGTCGAAGTCCAATCCCACGAATGGATATCTCCTCGTACTTCCAGGCCAAATTTTGGCCCATACAAGTTTAAAGGCTGTTGATAGTTTAATACCTATTGGTAGAGGTCAAAGAGAATTAATTATTGGTGATAGACAAACAGGTAAAACTTCTATAGCTATTGATACTATAATTAATCAAGTTAAAGCTCATCAAATTGGAGATAAAGATAATCAATTATTTTGTATTTATGTAGCTGTTGGTCAAAAAAGATCAACTGTTGCTGATTTAACTAAAACATTAGAAGATAAAAATGCTTTATTTTTTTCAATAGTAGTTGCTGCAACAGCTTCAGATTCAGCTCCATTACAATTTTTAGCTCCTTATACTGGTTGTACTTTAGGAGAATATTTTAGAGATAATGGACAACATGCTGTTATTTTTTATGATGATTTATCTAAACAAGCTGTAGCTTATCGTCAAATGTCTTTATTATTAAGAAGACCTCCT